ATTTGGAGTAAAACGAATGTTGCCGAGGTTCGTACTCGACCTCGGGTGAGCGTATTGAGGTTCGTACTCGACCTCGATTTGGAGTAAAACGAATGTTGCCGAGGTTCGTACTCGACCTCGGGTGAGCGTATTGAGGTTCGTACTCGACCTCGATTTGGAGTAAAACGAATGTTGCCGAGGTTCGTACTCGACCTCGGGTGAGCGTATTGAGGTTCGTACTCGACCTCGATTTGGAGTAAAACGAATGTTGCCGAGGTTCGTACTCGACCTCGGGTGAGCGTATTGAGGTTCGTACTCGACCTCAATTTGGAGTAAAACGAGTTTTGTCAAGGTTCGTACTCGACCTTGATTTGGAGTAAAACGAATGTTGCCGAGGTTCGTACTCGACCCTCCACAGATCCCCCTGCGAAATTGGTTTTGGTGCAGTGGTAAGGATTGACGCCGGAAGACACAACTTGGGAAGATTGGAATGATTTGCAGCTGAATTATCACCTTGAGGACAAGGTGTCTTTTCCAGGGGACAGTAATGATAGTGATGCGGGTCCTAATTCAGGCCCAAATGAGGAAACTTACATTAGTGGAATAACTGACCCAATGATGTCAACAATGATTCGTAGGGTGCCAAAGTACTTGGCTGATTATAAGCTGTGAGAATTGGGTTATGGGTGAGGGAACATTCATGTATGACGTGTCAGTATTTTAGTGGGTTTGTTATGAGTTTGTTATTAACTTTTCTGTTATATAGTGCTGGTAAGGAATGAATGAAGTAAGAAAAGAATATTTCCATCATTTCTCTATCTCTTTCCTGCAGGAGGCTCTTTGACCTCGAATCAAGGCAATATTTCTCTATCAGTATACCCTTGAAAACTAAAAAAGATTTATATAATTTAAGATCACATGATGTCAAACAATCTTTACCTAGTATGTAATTATATTTTTTTATAAAAATAATTAATAATATAATACAAGAAATTACTCATATTCTAAAACCATATAATAATTTGTATGGAGAGAATGGCTAAAGCTAGAAAGTTATTTTTAAGATGAGATTAATTTTGTTGCATAACCAATGTCATATTTGGCTTGTTTAATAGTATATATGTTTGACTATCTATTTTAAAGTATTTCTTTTAGGGGAATCTATTTTAAAGTATTGAAATACATGTTTTCATTTTTCAATACGTGAAATCCAAAAATAACAAGATTATTATTTTAAAACAAAAGTTTATTAAGTTTAATTTAACTTTTATCCAAACACACTTTTTATAACATGCCTATGCGAGTATTAATTACGACGCAAGGTAATGTTTTAATTGTGCATTTAGCAATCAATAGCTTTTATGCTAATATTACTTAATAACATCATAAAAAGTATTCTTTATTTGATGGTCATCGATCAAATTATACTTTCATATTATATTGATCTTACAAATTAAATTTTACAAAATTAAATTTTATTTAAATTTATACTATTAATAAATGAAATTAATCTATTTGGTATTTATATTTTTTTTTTGGATAATTTTATCTTTAAAATTACCTTTTAAATTACTTTTTCCTTCTCTACTATTTTTTTTTAAAAAAAACTATCCTTTATAATCACAATTATCCAAAAATTGCAACTTCAAACGTGTGGTTCAGCGGTAGGAGTTGATCTAAGCTTAAGCAAGGTCAGGGGTTCGAATCTTGCCTTGTGTATGCAGTCACGTTAAATCTTGGGGCTAGCTATCCCACCTTTTGAGGTGAAAGCGATCTATATTTTATATTAATACTTTCTAAGTGTTGTTTTAACTTGATTTGAGATTACCAAGAAAATTAAATTTTTTTTTCTAATTTTAAGAGACTTTGTTAATATATTTTCTATTTTAGCCTTTTTAAAATGAGTTATTTCCATAAAATTCTATTAATTAACTACCGCCTATTTTTTTTTCTATATTTAAAGTTTTCAATGATATCTCTTTCTCTTTTTAAATACTTCTTGTTGTTTAGCTTCCACTAAGATATACGTAAAAAATTAAAAGATATAAGTTACATCAGGTTGCCGATTACAAGTTGAAACAATACAAGTTTTTATTTATAAAATAATAAAAGAATTCAACTGTATAATTGAAAAAAAAAATTAATATTATCTTAAAATCTGTAAACGATGTATATTAAAAATAAAAATAAAAAACAGAGGGAGTATATAACAGCGACTAACCAATTAATGTTTGGCGAAACACCAAGTAATTACGTATTGACCTTGCCCACTATCCAAAGAATGAATATTCATAGACATTGTATTTTAAAGGATTTTTTATTTACAATAAAAGTGAGATAATTACTTTTTAAATTTAGCAAAATATTTTAAAATAATAAACATTACAAAAGTAATTTCATATGCCATAATTAAATTATCACGTGTGATTTAATTATTTTATATTTAAATAATAAATTTGTAACTTAAAAATCCGATAACGATCACCTACAAATATGTGAATTAATCGATCAAAATAATTCTAACTTTGAACTTGAATTGACTCAAGTTCAAGTTTTAGAATATTGGTGTGTAAAATAATCAGAAGAAAACTTTTGTAATTACAGTAATCAGACTCAAATAGGATTATACATGATGAATATTAACTAAAAGAAAAAGGAAAATAGATATTGGTGTTGCAACAAAATAGCAGAAACTAAAGGACAAAGTTTGGAGTGTGATGGTAATTTGGAAGTTGCCTACAATGGTGTCCTCGAGTACCCATATACAGGCCATTAGGACTTATAATCGCCCACCGCCCTCATCTCTATTCTAGCTACCTACAATCATGCTGCCTTTATTTCTACTTCTCATTTCTCAACTTCAATATTATTCATCAAGCTTCAACCACATGTGCCACCTATATATATTATTCTACTTCACTCATTAACTTCTTGATGCATGCACGTACACATTCATCATAGATGCATGCTTAGTTCAAGCATGTATTTACCAGGTCAGAGCAAGTGAAGTATTAGATATATATGTTAAGTTTATATATATAATCAACTAAAAATTACAAAACTTTACCGAAACATATAAAACAAAACAAAATTCGGAGGAGTTTGAGACGTGGAAGCCACTGATCCTCAAGTATGAATACGTATGATAGCATCTTTCGTGAAAGCAACGTTAAACCCCCACGTGCCTCGAATGTTCTCTTTGGATCGAATCTCCACTCCTACGATTGCAACCTTTAGCTGCACCCTCCTCTCATTATCTTCCTTCCATGTAACATCAATTCCTTTCTAACAATTTTATTTTAGTTCCATATAGCAACGCCATGCATGTACGACTAGCTATTAACCATGAATTATGGCAAAGTTCACCAATTATATATTTTCTGCACGAGTACAACTTCACTTTGGACTCGGTTGCAGAGATGTTCATTTATAATTTTAGCAAAAGTCGTGTAATGTGTGCCAAACCATATATATACAACATACTTTGGAGTCTAGGACAAACAAAATCATAAAGCCTAACGCCACACGTACTGGTGATGATGTGATCCATTAGAATAAGAACAAATTTAAGAGTTGTATTTTAGTGCTATTTTTTTTAATCAAATTAAAGTTTTATTTTTGGTAATTAAATTCAGTTTTAAATAAATAAAATATTACAATATTGTATTTAAGATTTTCCGGTACTAGTAATTAAGAGATGAAACACGTATTATTTAATTTTTTTTAAGGAAGATGAAACACGCATTATGATACTGTTTAGTTTGATTGGATTATTGGATTTGGATCCTTGGAAGGTGATGTTCTCCAACCCTCCTAGCTAACTCAAATTTGAAGTCAAATCGACGATGAAATTCAATGAAGTGGAGACTTAATAGTTTGACCGGTACAAGTGTGAACCAAACCAAAAAAAAATGCACATAATTGCGACGAAATCTATGGTGATTTGCGGATTTAGCATGAATAAAAAAAAAATCAAAGGATGGAAGACGTGCCACGTATCCCCGTTAAGCACGTGCTCGTGCTTCGATGCCCGCAACGCTAGCCTTCCATGATGTGTATACATTACTGTATATAGCACATATGTGAAAACTTGTTCCATAAACCGTAATTCCCTCTTCTGCATTGTGTCACACATTCTTGCCGACTTTTATCAACCTCATGTGCATGTTGAAATTCCACAATTGCCCCCCTCCCTCTGTTAATTTGAAAATGCAGTGGTAGCTGAATTTAACCAACCAAGACCATGGAAATGCACAATGCACTTAACAATAACTCAACTCAAAGTCTCAAACCACTAATGAACTCATCTGAAACACTTGTAACAAAGCCATATATGCACCAAGTTACTGCAATCAGTATTTGTCAGGTCTCAGTGTATTATTAAGACTGAATTCATCTCTACAACACCTTGAACAAGATGCGTGTGATATGATGAATTGGTAATTTGACAAGGGTTTGACTAAGAAGAAGAAAAATCCAGTGGAAAAAAGGAGACACGCTCCATCCGCCTATGAAACAGCATAACATGAAATTGACATCAACATCAGTAACTCACACATGCACACACACACCCTTCCTTAATTTTAACGATTCCCCAACCGCCCACGTTCCTCCCAACACCTCCCCCACACATATATTCACTCACCAACGAATCCCTCTCATCACACTCTCTTATTATATCACACCTCTCTCAATTCTCAACCCCATTATTCCACATCCAAATTATTAATCAATCATTAAATAAATATTTAATGTTCCCACAAACACACCAGAGTTTTAACATCAGCCGAGCCGGCCTTCACCCAATGTTGCAACATCACCACCACCACCACTCAATGGAACAACAACAACAGCAACAACAACGTTCGAGGTGGAAACCAAGCGTCGAGGTGGCACCCAATTGCCCTCGCTGCGCTTCCACTAACACCAAATTCTGCTACTACAACAACTACAGCTTGTCGCAGCCCAGGTACTTCTGCAAAGGCTGCAGACGCTACTGGACCAAAGGCGGCTCTCTCCGCAACGTCCCCGTCGGCGGTGGCTGCCGCAAAAACCGCCGCTCACGCCACCACCAAAGCCACCGCCTTTCCGCCAATGACTCTGCCTCCGACGACAGAGAGTCGTCATCATTAGGCGATGCCCATGAAAATAGCAACAACAATCACGGGTCACGTGACATAGACATGGCCCTTGTGTTTGCCAAATTCTTGAACCCAAAACCAACCCAGGATAACAACAACAATGCCTCATCCTCCACTTCCAACAATTACCTAACACCGGAAAGTGTAGAAACCGAGAACGATGCAGTGGTGGATCAGAATAAGCCCATTTTATCAGATCCTGCTATCTCTGAGAATTTTGGAGGAGAGGAATTGAGTTGCTTGAGTGGGATTGATGAGTTGGAGATGGAGAGGTTTTTGGGTGTGTGTGGTGATGAAGATGGTCTTTGGTCTGATGCTACAATCTCCTCTTGGCAGTCACATGCAAAGGAAATTCAATTCCAGGAGTTGGAGTTGGAATATTCCATGGATGATGCTCAATTATTACCCTTCGCATCTACAATGAGTGACACTTGGAGTTCCTTTGATCTTTCAACCATGCAACTCTTCTCATCAACTCCTTGATCAATTAATCGGATATATCTAGTTCCATCTTCTTTCTATTATTTGAAACAAGAGAAGATAGAGAGGGAGACTTAATTAATTGCTACTACCTCAATTATATATGTGTTGCTAATTAAATTAAATAGGATCTATAGAATTAAATTAATGTTATATGGAAATTGTTTATGTTTAGAGGATGTAGAATAAAGTTGTATTTCGGCTGCCATGGAAATGCAGTCGAACAAGTATACTCTCGGATCTGGAATTGTGTTCAGTTCACACAGCCAATCTGTACCTTTTGGAATATATATATAAATAAATACTATAAATTTTAATATTTTGTATAGTTTAGTTTTAAGTCTTCATACCTTATATGTGCTTGCAGATGTTGATTTCAGTCCAAATTTTAGTTACAACTCAATCTATGAAAAATGATGATTATACCGGTTTCTCACGAATGACATGATAATCCAAAGAAAGCATACAAGAAACCAAGCTCAAACTTCCATGACTCCGACGAAATGGGTAGAAGAAAGAAATAAAAAAGCTAAATTACAATTTTAATCTATATAATACCTATTTCGAAAATTTAATCTCCTAATTTTTAATTTCATAATTTTAATCTTAAGTTTATAAAATTTAAAATTTTTCTAATTTTTATCTCCTCATTAAATGTTTATTTATCAATTATTAAAATTATAACATGTCCTAATTTGGTAATAAGTATATAATATAACAATTAATATTTAATGATATTTAGAATAATATAATATAAATTGTATTTAGTTCTTTTATGGGTAATATGATTATTTTTAAAAAATTTAAAAACTCTTATTGAAAAAAAAAATCTAAAAATGTTCTTACATGAGATAAAAATTTGTAATATAAATATTTATTTTAGTTGATTTTATTTTATTTTATTTTATATTATAATGATGTAACAATTTTATCTTTATTACATCTTCAATGAGACTAGTTCAATTGATTGAGTGTGTTGTGAATTTTTTGGTACCAAATTTGATTTTTGTTCTTACCGGAAATTTACTGTAGAGCTGATCCGCCAGGTAAGATCGGTGAGCCTCCTTTACTGGTATGCTCGTGCTCCAAGATGGGGATGATACCTGCAAAAGAGACTCCGATGCTAAAGTTAGGGTTTGTATGAGTATATGTCTCGTATAAGTAATGCATGTACCTTGGTATGATTTTGGGTTGCCTTGAGCCTTGGGCCTGAGATAAGATATAACATGATTAGCTAACGGATCTTGTCCGGGGCGAGATCCTCGGGGATCAGTTGTGATTCACTTAAATGCCGAGCTGATGCCACGCGGTGCACGTCCGAGGTCGGCTTGCGTTGTGGTGCCGAGCTCGGAGCTCGACTTCGCGGTACGGATAGTACACTAGCCCCCCGAGCTCCGAAGACCGTAGGTCGAGGAGTTAAGACCGAGCTCGCTGGGGGGATGTGACCTTTCGCGTACGTTTGCTCGTTGTGGTGCCATGTGTCGCGACTGTTCATTTCCCGGAAACGTGCAAGTGGTGCGTTAAGGGAAATGACGGTTATGTAATGATGGTCTTGCAATTAATTGTGTTGTCAGGCGTGCCCTTAGGTTGACACGTGGCATGACCGTTTTGAATTTTGAGAGAAAACTTTCTTTTCTCTCACTCGCGCCTCTTCACCTCTCACTTTACTCACTTTTCGCTCTTTCAGCTTCTTGCGCACGCTGTTTCTCTCACTTTTCTGGTCATCTTCCGTCTCCACTTTCTTCGTTTTCGCCGTCATTTCCGGTAACCCAGTCATTGTTAGGATTATTTTCTGAGGGAGAGTACCAGGTACTTCCTTTCTAAAGTCTTCTTTTTCCTTCTTCCCCAATCTTCTTCAAGTCTTTCTTGTTTTTTCCATGGCTGGGGAGAGTAGTGCCAGTTCTTCTGCGCCTTCTCGTAGGGCGACCTCGGGATTCAGGCTCCTCATCTTGATCGAGGTGGCAGCGAACCGTTCCATGAATGTCCAGAGCGGTTTGTCATCGTTTTGCCTGAGACTGGCCAGGGCGGCTGAAGTGACATGGTGAGGTCGGCTCGTCGCATATTGCGCAGTGAACCTCTGGGCTAGGATGCCGAAGCTGTCGATGGATTCGGGAGGCAGTTGAGTGTACCAGTTGAGCGCGGCCCCCTTAAGTGAGGTCGGAAACACCCTACACAAGATAACATCGTTGTTGGTGTAGAGATTTACCTGTGTTGTGTACAGGTCGATGCGTTCGTCTGGGTCTGTCGTGCCATCGTAGCGGTCGAGGTGGAGAGGCTTCCACCCATGAGGGAGTGGTGTCTCCATAATGCCATCCACAAAAGGGTGGCGGCGGAAGGTTGCCTGATCCCCCGCGGCATGAGTAGGAGCCTTG